TTGTCAGGCACTGGGACCGTGCGCGATGGTCGACTGGCAGCGATGACCGATCGCGAGCAGGCAAGCGGCACTGGAAGCTCGCTGCGCGTCGCTGGTCGTCGATGCGGGGGTGAACAGGCGTCATCGCTGGTCGTCGCTGGTGGGGCCTGGCTATGCGCGAGTGCGTGCGGTTGTGCATGGTTGGGCTCAGCTGTCTTCTGGCGCGACGATGATTTCCGGCGGTGGCGGACGGCTGGGGAGATGACCGGAAAAATATATGTATAGAAAGGCTTGAATAAATTGTACCCAAAAGCCTTCTAACGGATTACCTAAACACCTGCTTCGTTTAAACTTGGTGGAGCGTTTAATCGAATCTTCCTAACTCTCAAACGATGCTATTCTCTCGTGTGTGTAGAAGAGAAAATCGGTCAACTAACATTGTAGGAGAGGTTGGGACATGGTGTATTTATAGGCTCCATTAGGGACCTTAACGCAATGCTTAATATGGGTTTATCCCATTAGGCCAAGGAATCCTAGTTCTACTCCAATTACTAATCCAATCTAGAATGGAACTCTCCTACTACTCACCACCTTCTAGAAGACTCTCAAGTCTCCTGACCTTAGACAAGATTCTAGCAGGAATATTCCTTTCCTAATGGAATAATAAATATGGAATAAAATTAATTCTTTATTAACTGGAATTAAATAATAAAACATCCTACTAGAGTAATATTATTGTTCTCCCTATTTAGATCCTAATTTATCAATAAATTCGAACCTCCATGATTAATTAATATTAAATCGATTGATCGATTTACCTCCCCATGTTTAAGATATAACGTCCGTTGATTAATTAAATTACTGACAAAATAATTAATCAACTTCTTACTCATTTTCGAAATTAGTACCACTCAGATCCTTAACCATTATGTCAGACAATCGTCTACCTACAGGGTTTTAACATAATGTACATTCCTGAGCTCATTTCGGGGACGTCATCAATCCAGCGCACTGGAACATAGTGACCATAAATAATTTATAATAACACATCATATAATTATTCTTATTTACCAAAATACCTTGTATGTCATCCTAATAAAAATAGGAATCATTTGGTAAATCAAATAAACAAGAAGTGAATATGTATACCTATTTTATATTATCTCACAGCTTAAGAAAACGCATCAATCACCGAAGGTCTAGATTACAACAACGATCAGTGAGTCTCATAATCTTATCCTTATGCGGTCTTGTTCAACACTTAACATAAGTGCTAGTGTAATTTTTCAGTCAAAGACCAACTGAGTCAAGAATACACTAGTCTTTTTCCAAGAGGGGTCTCACTGTCTGTCTAGACTGTGAACGAGTAGTTTAGTATTATAAGGAACTGATAGGTAATCTTTCTGTTCGAAACACTTCGAACCACGCTATCTCAATATAAGACACGGAGTATGATGTGCATACATAAATAAACTGCAAACATATGTACTTTGACTGAAACATGATGGCCATATCGAAATGGAATTGATAGAATCTGCAAAACATAGCTTTTACAGTATATCTTTAACACATTCGTCACATTATTACTATGTCAGAATTTAATCCACTTGCACGGTTTAGCATAATAATCCTTCGTGATCTCACTCCGTGGACATCATCAAACTAACGCACATGGTGACCGTAAATATCCTAACAACACATCCTACATGGAACAATGTTACCCAAAACAGCGGGTCTATTGGCCCAGTTCACTAAGCCTCACCCATGTGAATCAAAGTAATAAGTAATGCACATATATGCTTGTTTAATATCTTACGGGTTAAGAATACGCAGTAATTAACCGAGGCCTAGTTCGTTTACGATGATCAGTGTAAAACGAACTGCTCCTCTCTGGGATCCTGTTCAATACATAAATGTACTAGTGCAACTAATCAGTCAAGACAAACTGTACGGTTGACACTACAACCGTTCACGGGGTGTTCATGTCCATCTTGGTTGTGAACCAATTATTATTGTTTCGCGAGTAACTAATAGCATGATCTTCGGTTCGCCCGATGACGACCCTGTTAGTGTTATATACTGAAGTTTGGCTTTGGATGATATTACACTTTTACCCTTTTATGAATGAGAAACATGTTAGATTGAAAAAGATCTACGTTCTGTTGTTTTGCATTAGATAGTGTGGGTCGTCATCGGGCGAACCGAAGATCATACTATCAGTTACACGCGAAACAAGAATAAGTGGTTCACAACGCAGATGGACATGAACACCCCATCGTGAACGGTTGTAGTGTCAATTGTACAGTTTGTCTTGATTGATTAGTTGCATTAGTACATTTATTTTTTGACAGTATTCCAGAGAGGAGCAATTCGTTTTATACTGATCGTCGTAAACGAAGTAGGCCTCGGTTAATTACTGCATACTCTTAACCCGTAAGATATTAAACAGGCATATATGTGTAGTATTTATTACTTTAATTCACATGGGTGAGGCTTAGTGAACTGGGCCAATAGACCCACTGTCTTGGGTAATATTGCTACATGTAGAATGTGCTGTTTGGATATTTACGGTCACCATGTGCGTTAGTTTGATGATATCCCCGGAGTGAGTTCATGAAGGATTATTATTCTAAACCCTGCAAGTGGATTAAATTCCAGCATAGTATAATGTGATGAACGAGCGCTAGTTTCGGTGAAATAATAATAAATTAACTAATTCTTGATTGTCAGTAATCAAATTAATTAATGGACATTATATCTTAATCATGGGGAGATAAACTACGTAATTATTATTAGAGTCTCAATTGTAAATTGGGCTAGGAAAAGGGAGTGCAATAATATTATGTTGGTGGCCCATTTAATATTATTTAATTAATTAAAATAAATGGCTTGGTCCACAAGTATTTTAATTAATTAAGGAGCCCTAATCCTAATCTCCAAAGGATCCCTACTGTAGCTCTATATATACATCATTAAACTCATGGAAAGAGGAGAATTCCACATCTTGTGAAATCACGCCCCACGTTTCTCTTCTCTCTCTCAGTTCCCATTCGAGCTTTATCTTCTTCTTGTTGTTCCACCGGTACAAGATTAAGAGGTGTTTGAGATATATAGTTGAAGATCTTTGGGTAAAGCGAGACAAAATATATTTTGTCGTACAGAACTAATCGGAGGTCCGATCAAGACGTGCAGCATAGCCAGACGACCGTCTCGACGAAAGCTTTCCAACACCACCGAGATAGCAGTCGTCCGACCATCCATGCGGACGCACGCACCATCGTAAGGTCCCAGGACTGCAACTTGTCTTCATCCGTTTTGCACCCATTTGATCTGGTTTTCGATCCGATCTTTTTCGTGCAATCCTATGATGCGATTTGTAATCAACAATTCATTGGTGTGCTGTGTACGACCATCCAGAAGATGAGTCAGATCGCCATAAATTTTAAGTCGTAAGTTCTCTACGCAAACCTTTAGATCTGCTGCACATAGGTTTACGTTTTGCTATTGAATTCGTGATTTGTGCATGACGAGATCCTCGTAGATCCCAACAAGTGGTATCAGATCACTTGGTTTAATTCGTTGTGTACAAGTTCAAATTTTTCTGGCTTTATTTGTCAAGATGTGTTCAAACGCAGCCATATATTGGATTATATTCGCATAACTCGATTTTGCAGGAATTAGTTTAATCCACTATTATGGCCGACTATGTGTTTGATGAATGTTGACGAATGTGATGTATGGTTTTAAATTTGTTTTTAAAGTCTCGGACATGTCGAGGAATTTGATGTATGAATGTTTGTAATAATTATTCGCTCGGAGGTTGACCGGATAGATTTAATTATTTGTTTAGAAAACATGTACATCCATTCGTTAGATCTAGAATCGGATTATATAATTTTGTAAATTATATTTTTCGTATTGTGATCGTGGATTAATTGCCAGGAGATCACAAGAGATCAACGAGCCTCGAAAAACCAACCGGGATGAAGCCCGGAGGCGCCACAGGCACGCGCGGTTAAAAAATAAATCTGACCACCGGCGGCAGCCGGGCGGTGGCAAGGCGGCAGCGACGACGGGCTGTTGGCGGTGGAGAGGTTTACTTGGTGTCCAAGCAGTACAAGATCTACAAGGATTCTACTGCAGTGGGAGTTCCAGTTGAACAGTGAAAGAATATACAAAGTTTCCTTGTTTATGGGAACTCAATATTTAATGGCCATAATAGTGGATTTATTTATTTAAATTCATTATCCCATTAATTATTTATTTATTTATTTATGAATGTTAATTAATTATTATATTTGCATGGGATTAATTTAGAATTGCATATTTATTTATGCATGTTAATTAATTATTTCATTTACATATGATTAATTTAAAATTACATAAATATTTAAATAAGTAAAACTACTCATTTAAATTATAACTAAGTTTGAGAAGGGATTTTAAATTATAGTTAATTGTAAAATTCCTAAGGCCTTCATTTCTAATTTGTCGGTAATCAATTAATTGCGGTTATGGTCTCCCCCTCGGGTGATATCGCTAAAATTAGTTGTAGGTAATTACCAGAACAAATTTCTAAATTAGACGATTAGAGGGAGTCTTATGAGAGAGTACGGGCTTCCCCTCGGATGACGTATTTCGTGTTTCTCAGATATGCATCATGTCGTTCAATCTGTTATTTGTCATTCTAAAAGAAAATCAACTTACTGTCCTAATTACATTGATTGGAAGAGAAACTTAGACATTGTGTTGACTGCTGAGGGTTATAAGTTTGCGATCACTGAGGCTTGCCCGGCAGAGCCCATGGCTGATGCTCCTGAGCAGGAGAAAGCGGAGTATGCTTGGTGGAAAAAGGCTGATGTGATGGCGAAGTGTTACACTTTGGCATCTATGTCAAATGTTCTTCAACATCAGCATCAGTCTAAGAACACTGCGGCAGACATACTCCTCAATCTCAGGAATCTGTTCGGACACCAGTCAAGGGCTGCTAGGCAAGAGGCTATCAGTGCTCTGATGACTACAAGCATGGTAGAGGGCACACCCGTAAGGGAGCATGCTCTCAAGGTTATGGCGCTACTCAATGAGCTAGAGGTTATGGGAGGTTTTATGGACAGGAAAACCCAGGTTGATATCATGCTCCAATCCATGTCGAAGAGCTTTGATCAGTTCCGGTTGAACTACAACATGCACAAGATGCATATGGCTCTTCCAGAACTGCTAGCAGAGCTTCAGTCGGTAGAGGCCATATTCACTCAGGCACCTCACGCACTGGTTGCAGAGCAGGCTGGACCTTCTAGGCCTCACAAGGGCAGGAAGAGAAAGAAGTCTGCAGGAAAGGCAAAGGTGCAAGATGCCTCGGTGGTACAGTGACCGCCCCCTCAGTCTGTGGCAAAGAAGCCAAAAGGTAGATGCCATAAGTGCAACAAGTCAGGACACTAGAAGGTCGACTACCCTCTCCTCAAGAAAGGTAACTCTCTCGGTAATGTCGTAGAAACTTGTTTAGCGGTTATATCTACCAGAACCTGGTGTGTAGATACTGGAGCCACTGGTCATGTCTGTAATTGGGAACTGTCAACTTCACCCCTCAACTCCTCTAAGACTAGTCTACTAGCGGGCTTGTGATTTATAATATAGTCTTCTTCAAAGAATCTAGCATTCGTGCTAACGATCACCTTCTGATCCTCGGGACTATAAAATAATCCACTTTGCGTTCCCCTGAGATAACCAACGAACACTCGTGCTTCCGAATGTTTCTCCAACTTGCTAGCTTCCTGCACTAACACGTGTGCATGACTACCCCATATTCGAAACTGTGAGAAACTGGGATTGCGCACTTTCCACATCTCATAAGGAGTAGTTTCCACCGACTTTGAAGGAACCATGTTCAGAATATACACAGTTGTTTCTAAAGCCAATTCCCAGAACGAATCTGGTAACTTTGAGTAACTCATCATCGACCTAACCATTTCAATAAGAGTCCTATTTCTTCATTCTGCAACCCTATTCTGTTGGGGCGTGTCGGGTGCAGTCAATTGGGATTCAATCTCAGCTTCTGATAAATATGTCATGAACTCTCCAAAGAGGTATTCTCCACCTCGATAAGATCGAAGCGATTTGATACTTTTACCATGAAGCTTCTCCACAACTGCCTGATACTCCTTGAATTTTTCAAAGCATTCGGACTTGTGGTGCCTGATAAATATGTCCTGAACTCTCCAAAGAGGTATTCGCCACTTCGATAAGATCGAAGCGACTTGATACTTTTACCATGAAGCTTCTCCACAACTGCCTGATACTCTTTGAATTTTTCAAAGCATTCGAACTTGCGGTGCAACAGATAAATGTACCCAAATCTCGAATAATCATCTATAAAAGAGACAAAGTACTCGAAACCTCCTCTAGCTTGGATCGACATAGGACCACTTTAATCAGAATGAATCTGATATGGGATATTATATAATAGACCAGTTCTTCGTGACAGCCAACTAAAATAGACCAGCGGCCTGGTCGAATCAAACCGAGAGTCCGCAATGAAGAAAAGAAGGAAGACGACGGGGAAGAGCGAGTTGGATGATATCAAACAAGTACCGACTGCTCAAGGAGTTAGTCGAGGAAGAACGATCAGATGGACGTGGGCGTGGACTCGACCACCTCATACCTCAGGGACAACTCAGTGTTCGCTAGATATCCGGTTGAATATCAGAATAAATAAGAGAATCTCCAGCACGTGGGAAGAGGACACGCAGCGCTTCATGAGTGGTCCAGGGCGATAACAAACTCTGACATTCTCAAACATAATCGACGCGCTTGCTGATGCCAGAGATAGTGGAGGCACGTGGTTGTATGGACGAGCAGGAGGGCTACCAACCGGACTCGCCCAGGCCGCGCGTGTAGAACAGGTAACTCGCCCCTATAAATAGGGACAAGAATTCTCATCTTACACACAATCTCTACACTTAAATAAATATTTCATCTCTCTCAAGATCTGACTTGAGCGTTGGAGGCTCTTCACCGGAAACCACCTCCGGTGTGAGAGTTGCGTGCAGGTTCAGCGTTCTACCGGTGTGGAAGACAAGTTCGAAGCGGTTCTCGGTCGGTTGGGCGTTAGACCTGTATTATTGGCACCATCTGTGGGACTTCTGTTTGAAAAGTTGTGTTCTGAGCTCAGCTATGGCGGACAGAATTCTTCGAGTGAATTTGCAGTCGTCGTTCGATGAGGCGTGGACGACGACCAGACCGATGGGAATGGGTCCTCCCCCTGGCTTCTCCGCACCGCTACAAACACCGGTGACCCCAGTGTTAGAGGTATGCTGTAAAAGCTATGTTTTGCAGATTCTATCAATTCCATTTTGATCTGGCAATCATGTT